GTGGAGTTTGACAGTTCATCCTGTCGCCTCTGAATCCTTGCTTCCTGCTCACTTCTCAGCCGAGTGCCTGCCTTCCCTCCCTGCTCTCAGCTTTGCTGGAAGAGGATCTGGACTCACCCACCTGTCTGCCACCTCAGCGTCAGGCTCTTCCACTGACCTCTGCCCGCCCACCACCTGCCGACACTCCCGGGTGCTGGAGCCTCTCAGGTTCCTCCGCTGGCTTCCTGGACAGATGACCAGTCCTGTGGTCTCAGCTGCTGCTACCAGCGTTCTTTATGCCCTCAAGTGAGACGACGTAATGACCGTTTATTGAGCGCCTGTGTCCCGGCGCCTTTTCATTCAGTTCTCCACTATCCCCAGCTACCACCCAATAAACAAGCATCCTGCCAGATGTCACCAGGTGCTCCTGGGGTTACTCAGACAGGTTTGGGACATGCTGCTTTGGGCTGCATGGCCGGCGGCCTTTCCTGCAGCCTCCGCGTCTCTGCAGGTGCCCCTAGCGTGTGGCATCTCCTGGACCTGTGTGCATGGTGCTCCTTCGCAGGCAGCTTCTCAGGAGAAGCCAGCATTCCCTTGTGCACCTTGGGCCAGCGCCTCCCTCATCCAGTCCAGACTCTTTCCTCTGAGGACCTGCAAGCCTGTCCCTTCCTGACTTCGGACTGTCGCTGCCGCTCTGGCCAGCTCCGTATTCTTTGGGATTCGGGCCCTGCTCGCCTCCCAGCCTGGGCTCTTTCTTGCCCCTTTCCCGGTTCCTTCCTCCTTCCAGCTTCTGGGTTCTTGCAGTGCTTCCGTAGACTGTCTGCCTCCTGCCTCCCGCCTCCCGGCCCCCTAAGTCGCTCTGCCTTCGGCCTGGAAGTTACCCCCCTTCCCCGGGATGCTTCTGTTCTTCTCTTAGACCCCAGCTGGGCCCCCCTCCCCCGGGAGTCTTCCTGCCCCTCCTCCGCCCCCCGCCAGCTCCCTGCATTCTCCCCGTAGGGATTCCCATCATGCTGACTCTTCCTTTTCTCTTTGGAAAGTAACACTCTTAATTGTACAGCTTGCTGAGTTTCACATAATGACACTGAATTTTAATTTCACGGTGGTTTGTCTCTCAGCCTAGGCCAAATGCACGGGAGCCCTCCTTGTTTCGTGCTTACAGAACGACCCGGGGAGAGGGCAGTGGTGCCTGGTCTTACACCAGCTTGGGGAACTCAGACCGGCTCTGTCCCAGGCCGGCAGCAAAGGCCCTTCTGGAAGCTCCTCGGGGCTCCTGCCATCATTCGTGGCTTGATTTTACCTGGAGGCCGTCCAGCTCTTAGGTCCTGATCTCGAAGGGCCCTGGCCTGTTTTACTGGAGGCCAAGGGCCTGAAAGGCAAGGAGTGGCCCGGCGCTCTCCCTTCCTAGTGAGAACACACGGGCTCAGAGGCCAAGTCTGAGTCCCTGTCCCGACCCTGTGCCCTGGTTAGGGTGAGGCCGGCGGGGCAGGCGTGTTCCGAGTGGCCTCTCCGTGAGCACAGGCAGCTTTGCCAAGCCTGGTCCACCCTGCGGGGTTGAAGGGAGGGCCCTGCACAACCTTGCATTCGTGACTGAGCAGAGAACCCGGGGCCTCTGGGAGCCGCTGTCTGGGTCGCTCTTCGTCTTGGCTGCCGGGAGCCCAGAGTCCGGGGCGCCCTTCCTCACGCAGCTCCAGTGGATCCTGCTTTGCACTTTCATTTTTGGTAGTCGGCTTTATTTCCCAGAACGGTTTTAGGTTTACAGTTAGTTGAGGGGACGGTACAGGGATTCCCCCTGTGCCCCCGGCCCTGCACCGGCGCAGCACACAGCATTCCCCCACCCCCGGCATCAGCATCCCCCACCAGCGTGGTGAGCCTGTGACAACCGTGAGCCCACGTCGACACCTCATCACCAGCGGCCACGGCTCACATCAGGGTTTGCTCCTGCTGTTGTCCCCTCTGGGGGTCTGGATAAACGTGCGGTGCCACGCACTCCCCGTCACAGATTCGTGCAGGGTAGTCTTACTGCCCCGAGCCCCAGGCCTCCAGATGTCTCTGCGGCCTGCTGTCTGCTCTCCCCGCAACCCTGCCCGCTCCAGAGGTCACAGCGCTGGGGTCGTCCA